TGTAGTAGATGAACACGTATGGAGGGTATACATGTAGATATAGAGTAGATGAACACGTATGTAGGCTATACATGTAGATATGTATTAGATGAAGATACATGGGAGCCATACATGTAGATATGTTGTATATGAACACGTATAGAGGTTATACACGTAGATATGTAGCAGATGTACACGTATGAAGGGTATACATGTAGATATGTTGTAGATGAACACGTGTGGAGGTTATACATGTAGATCTGTAGTAGATAAACACGTATGGTGCTTATACATGTAGATAGTTAGTAGATGAACACGTATGGAGGGTATACATGTAGATATGTAGTAGATGAACACGTATGGAGGGTATACATGTAGATATGTACTAGATGAACACGTATGGAGGTTATACATGTAGATCTGTAGTAGATAAACACGTATGGTGCTTATACATGTAGATAGGTAGTAGATGAACACGTATGGAGGGTATACATGTAGATCTGTAGTAGATGTACACGTATGGAGGGTATACATGTAGATATGTACTAGATGAACACGTATGGAGGGTATACATGTAGATAGGTAGTAGATGAACACCTATGGAGGTTATACATGTAGATATGTAGTAAATGAACACGTATGGAGGGTATACATGTAGATGTAGTAGATGAACACGTATGGAGGGTATACATGTAGATAGGTAGTAGATGAACACATATGGAGGTTATACATGTAGATATGTACTAGATGAACACGTATGGAGGTTATACATGTAGATATGTAGTAGATGAACACGTATGGATTATGTAGTAGATGAACACGTATGGAGGGTATACATGTAGATATGTAGTAGATGAACACGTATGGAGGGTATACATGTAGATATGTAGTAGATGAACACGTATGGAGGGTATACATGTAGATATGTAGTAGATGAACACGTATGGTGGTAGATATGAAGCAGTTGTATGATTGGACTCTTTGCTGTACACACATCACACATGTTCCTTCCTCTCTCCTACCTGTGCCGTGTCCCCCTCCGGCTTCTCCAGCTCTCTCCGTGTGGAGGGGAGACTCAGCCTGTCTCCAGCCGTGACCGAGCAGATCATCTGGGAGCCGTGCCGGGGCCCTTCGCTCCCTACACCA